CCCGGCCAATCAGGAAGCCGGGCAGCGTGTAATGGCGCGCTGCCCGGCTTCCTGATACCGGAAGTATCGGGCTTGGCATCAGCATTTGGGCGAGTACGAGTACTCGCCCCAAATACTCGGCATCGGCACAGATACCAGTATCGGTATTGGTGCATCCCTAGGTCCAGCGCTGAAAGGTGGAACTGAGGATGGCAGCTAAGCAGTCAGCGGGATCAGTATACAAAGGTAGCAACACCAGGATAAGGATACTTATTTTCCAAAAAGTGACAGTTATTTGTCTGCCGGGGCCAATAAGATTTGAAAATGACAGTCACATGACTAGAACAAAGATCGTCACGTTAAAGCTTGGCGAACGGAGCCTATTGTGTGCTCTCACGTTGATATACCTCTGAGTACATCATTGTATCGAGCTGGATATGTAGAACATCTTTATTATTGCCGTGTTACATTGTATCTGTGATCATTATTTGGATAGAACATCCCTTTGAACTGTCGGCGAGTGTGAACATCTTCCAGTTCTGTAACTCTCCACAGTCTTGTAAGCCGGTCCGAATAGAGCGAGGGAGTATAACATTGAAGTAGAAAGCCGTTCTGGTTCTGTCCCCCTCCCCCGGCTCGCAGGTTACTGCTCCTTGCGAACGTCTTTTTTTTCCCAGGCTGCGAAGTGAAGCGATCTCGTTTTTTTTGTTCTTTTCCTCCCGCAAGTCACCTGGATGGCAAGCTAATTGGCTCTGGATCAAAACAGCGTCTGCTCAGACTTCACAAGGCCTCACATTCTGGCAGGCCTGGGGAGGAACAGCTGTCTGACGCCTCTCACAGCCATCAGTAAAGTGTCAGAGCTTGTGTTATAATCTGGCTCGTGGTGTCTCCCCTCCTGTACAAGGCAGGTGCAGTCGGCTGAGATTGGAAGGCGTTCGGAGTTCGGATCGATTGTAAAACAACTCTACGCCGAAGTGCGTCACTTTTTTAAAACGGAATCTGGGCAAATGTCAAAATGATTAGTGCACTGCGAGGGTTAAAGGCTCATTTTTGTCTAGACTAACATTACGTACCTTAATCTTCCGCTCCTGCAGGCTTCTTCCTCTCCGTGCAACCGGTCCCGGAAGCTGCTTCTCTTCAAGTGCTCTATTGGTTGAACTCTGATGTCATCATGTTCAATGCAGGACCAGTAGTCCTGCATTGTAAGCCCCCAACGCGCTGCCGCAGAACCGTGCAGAACCGTGGAAATCACATTATTCTCTAGCAGCAGCTCTCTATATACTGAGCTTGGGGTGACGGGAGGACGCTAGTTTGTGTCCTCCCGTTACCCTAAGGAGAACTATGGGGAAAAGCCGTGACCCCATAGTTCTCCTTTAATTGAGCGTCCCTTGGACGGGAAGTGTGTTCCTGGCAGGATCTTCAGGTGAAAATAATGGGAAAAAAGGAAATCTAAAGCAGTCACCACATCTAAGGACTGGTCAGCTGCAATATGCTACACTTTGTTTGTGAGTTTCTCTTGGTGTTAAAGTTCTGTGATTTGAGCCGTTTGGTTCCCGAGATGAACGTTGTTCTGCCCGGCCCTCCTAATCGCGGATGGTTTGCTGGCCTTGACTATTCCACATAAAGATCTGACGTCAGGGAGGCTCGTTATCACTCGTACAGGAGAGTCAATGTCACTCGTACAGGAGAGTCAATGTCACTCGTACAGGAGAGTCAATGTACCTCGTACAGGAGAGTCAATGTCACTCGTACAGGAGAGTCAATGTCACTCGTACAGGAGAGTCAATGTACCTCGTACAGGAGAGTCAATGTGCCTCGTACAGGAGGGTCAATGTACCTGGTACAGGAGAGTCAATGTCACTCGTACAGGAGAGTCAATGTCACTCGTACAGGAGAGTCAATGTCACTCGTACAGCAGAGTCAATGTCACTCGTACAGCAGAGTCAATGTCACTCGTACAGGAGAGTCAATGTACCTCGTACAGGAGAGTCAATGTGCCTCGTACAGGAGAGTCAATGTCACTTGTACAGGAGAGTCAATGTACCTCGTACCTTTTATTTGTAGCCTCAGAAGAGCAACTTCTGTAAAAAGGGGGAATGTATGAGGAGCGTTGCCATGCACAGCTGCAGTGCTTCTCATGCATCACTAATTTGGATAACTGACTACACAGCTGAGGCTTGCATCGCGGTTCAAGAATTGCAAATTACAGAGAACTTTACTTCGTTATCACACGGGCAAGAAAACAAACAAACAATCTACTTCCACATATTTTAACTTAAAGGGAGGGAAACAGATTTTTCTTAAGCATAAGAACCCTCCTAGTTCTCCATTAGAGAGTCTTCCTTCCTGGTAACATTTTAACTGCTGCTGACCACAGTGCATATCGAGTTCAAATCGGATCTAATATAGATTGCTCTGGTTTTTGGACAAGAACAAGTGTGGTGTCTGTTCTTATTAGTGTTCAGGAGGGGAAATGTGCCCCTGTTCTGGCCCAATGATAAGAATGGTTGGCTGCAGAGCACCTTGCCCGAGTTGATGGGAGTCCCAAAGGCTCCTCGCTGGGGGTTAAGGAAACCAAATTGAGCATCCACTCATGTAAGAGTGGAGGTCTAGGGTACTTCTTTTGGCCCAGGATCTGGAGGGTCCCAGTGCCTCCTGATTTGAATGGGAATACCTGGTCTGGTCATGGGTTGGGGAAGCAAGGAGACCGTGGTGTCAAGTGCTCCCCTGGGAGTGCTCAAGTAACACTATGGGTTTGGGACACCACTGTGTGAATGGCACCCGAGCCACAACACCAAACATTTCGCCTCTTGGGCTAGGCCTTCTGGTTAAGACCAGGGGAATATAAGACTGAAGGGAAGGACGGAGGTCGGATATAAGACTGAAGGGAAGGACGGAGGTCAGATAGAAGACTGAAGGGAAGGACGGAGGTCAGATATAAGACTGAAGGGAAGGACAGGGGTCAGATATAAGACTGAAGGGAAGGACAGGGGTCAGATATAAGACTGAAGGGAAGGACAGTGGTCAGATAGAAGACTGAAGGGAAGGACGGAGGTCAGATAGAAGATTGAAGGGGAGGACGGAGGTCAGATAGAAGACTGAAGGGGAGGAAGGAGGTCAGATAGAAGACTGAAGGGAAGGACGGAGGTCAGATATAAAATTGAAGGGAAGGACGGAGGTCAGCTTTCAAGACTCTTGTGTGGTAATTTGAACTGTTTTGTGACTCACTAGATGTTCAGAATTCCTGGAGGGTTTAATCTCATGTTACCTTCACAGGTCTGTAGTGATGGAAGCCAGCGTTCTCACTCCATTACTTCTGTGTTCCCTATAGATAAGATTGAGAATGGTGACGTATACCAGAGGAAAAGGGGCGCCCAACCTTCACCGGGAGATGACCTGTCACTGCTGAGCGCCCCAGAACCCGTGAACAAAGGAGGGAGCAGCTGGAGACGGATCATGCTTCTCATCCTGGCCATCACCATACACAACATTCCAGGTAAGACGCATTGTCTCTCATTGTCCTCTACGAGGTGTAGGAACGGATCACTGGGGAGTCCGTGTGAATGAGATCACTGTCACTGGAAAGCTTTATATTATGTCTGATGGGACACAGATGGTTCCGGGACCATCAATGAAATATGCTGAGCTATGTTTGACATCACACTTTACTGAGCTCTACATGTGTGCTGGATTCCTTTGCCCAATTGGAAAGTCTAAGCAGCCAGTAGAAAGGTATTATTGGACATGCCGTTCTGCCTGCCGCCCCCTCACATGACCCACAGAGATGCTGCCTGAGGCAACAGCTTCATTAAAGGAGAACTATGAGGGGGGGAGGGGGGTGCTTTTCACTCGCCTCATAGTTCTAGCCGACCTGTGACAATGAGACTGTCACAGGTCGGCTCAGTAGATCGGGAGGTGAGCGAACACATACCGGCGTTCGCTCACTTCTCGATCCTGTCACAGCTCTCTGCCGTGACAGGGGAGGGGATGGATTCCCCCCTCCCCGCTCCGATCCACCAGCGCTGACTGGCGGAACAGACGGGGGAGGGGGCGGGTTCACAGCTGGCTCTGCTTCTAGATAGGCAGAGCCAGCTGTCACTCACGCAGCTGGGTGGATCCAGACATAATTGTCGGGATCCGTCCCGGCTGCGGCGGTCTCAGTATAATGCGAGCTGTAACTCCCTATATACTGAGCTTAGGGTGACGGGAGGACGCTAGTTTGTGTCCTCCCGTTACCCTAAGGAGAACTATGGGGAAAAGCCCTGACCCCATAGTTCTCCTTTAAAGGGACGGCCCTGGTGGGAAATGCTGAAAAAAAATCCAAAGTCCAAAACGCGGCACGAAAGTCGCACAATCTGCGCCGAATAAATAATTGTATCAGTGGAGGTGTGCAGTGTTACGCCAAGAGGATGATGGGGCAAGACAGTCACAATCATGATTTCTGCGTCTAATAAACTATACGCACTGCGACATGATAGATTTTGTGAAAAGCAATATGTTCCATGTGGCACTTCACATTCCTCTACTGGCCCGTCGTGGTTTAATCAGAGGAGACCAAAAGGAAACCTGTGCCATGCAAAATCCCTCACCCGACGCTGAGCAGCTCCTCTAATGCCCTTTGCCTGGCTCTCTCTCTCTGCTTTCAATGCTCTCTGAGCCACAGAGCCAGAGAAGTTATGCAGCCAGAAATGTTCACATCGAAGCCATTGGATCAGCATGGCAGCCATGCGAAGGGCGTTTCTGGAAGGACGGATCCCTTTAACATGCTGCGTTTTGTCCTCTTGCAACCAGCTGCTCCGATCTGTCTTTCCAGCGCGGCGTGACGAATAAACACGGAGCTCCTTGTTAGAGCAGTTAATACCGAAGGGCAGGCTGCCCACTCGCTGACAGGCTGGCGTAGCCCGGCTCCAGTTGTGCCCGTTCAGCAGGTGCGCTTTGCCTGCTCGGCTAATGGGAGTTTGGCACCGGCTGTGCGCACGCGGCGGCACAAGACTCATTGTATTTGGCTGCCTTTAATGCCAGCTCAGCGCTCGGTGCTCTCTCATCGGTGGACGGGAGTATGTTATTGTTTTTATTTATTTACCGGCTGAGTAACACACCGAGAGATTACCATATAGATTAAACTGCGGGGAGCCGAGTGCGGCATCCTGGAAAAGGTTTCCAGGCTCTTTATGTGACCTGCGATGGCGATTATTTCTCTGTATTCCGATGTTACCTCACTTGTTCTGTCAGGGCACCGACCCAGTAGGGATGGGCTGTCGGCGGTGTTGATCCCAGAGCCG